ATTAAGTATAACTTAAGATTTTGTGGTATCCACTAGTGTAAATATTTTAAATTGAAGATCCAATTCATTCATTATATTCGTATAGGGTCAAGGAGTGTAACTGTAAAAAATCATCAAAATCGGAGTTAAAATAACCGTTAAATAGTGATTTTTTGTTCATAACCATCGAAAAGTTTTATCCCGTTACTTTACCTCTAAATGTTTGTTCTTTGCGATTTTTGGCGTATACGATCCTAAAGCATATACAAACAAGTTTGATGGTTGGATCGTTGAAACTAATTTTGTAGAATGCGTATCCAATCAAAATGATAAATTCACTAGCACCTAAGAGTTTATTTATACTTTCACTAAGTATAACATAAGATTTTGTGGTATCCACCAGTGTAAATATTTTAAATTGAAGATTGAGTTTATTCATTGTATTCATATAGGGTCAAGGAGTGTAGCTGTAAAAAATCATCAAAATTGGAGTTAAAATAACCATTAAATCGTGATTTTTCGTTGATAGCCGTCGAAAAGTTTTGTCCGTTACTTGATCTCTGAATGTTTGTTTTTTGCAATTTTTGGTGTATGTGATCTCGAAGTATATACAAACATATTTAATGATTGGATCATTGAAACTAGTTTCGTAGAATGCGTATCCCATCAAAACAATAGATTCACTAACACTTAAGAGTTTATTGATACTTTCATTAAGTATAATATAAGATTTTGTGGTATCCACTAGTGTAAAATTTGTAATTGAAGATCGAGTTCATTCATTGAATTCATATAGGGTCAAGGAGTGTAGCTGTAAAATCATCAAAATTGGAGTTCAAATAACCGTTAAATCGTGATTTTTCGTTGATAACCGCCGAAAAGTTTTGTCTATTACTTGATCTCTGAATGTTTGTTTTTTTTCAATTTTTGGTGTATGCGATCTTGAAGTATATACAAACATGTTTGACGATTGGATCATTGAAACTAGTTTCGTAGAATACGTATCCCATCTAAACAACAAATTCACTAACACTTAAGAGTTTATTCATACTTTCATTAAGTATAACATACAATTTTGTGGTACCTACTAGTGTGAATGTTTTAAATTGAAGATCGAGTTCATTCGTTATATTCATATATGGTCAAGCAGTGTAGCTGTAAAAAAACATCAAAATCCGAGTTAAAATAACCGTTAAATCATGGTTTTTTGTTAATAACCGTCGAAAAGTTTTGTCACGTTACTTGATCTCTGAATGTTTGTTTTTTGCGATTTTTGGTTATGCGATCTTGAAGCATATACAAATAAGTTTGACGGTTGGATCGTTAAAATTAGTTTTGTGGAATGCATATCCCATCAAAACGATAGATTCACTAACACTAAGCGTTTATGTATACTTTAATCTAGTATAACATAAGATTTTGTGATATCCACTATTGTAAATATTTTAAATTGAAGATCGAATTCATTCATTGTATTCATATCAGGTCAAGGAGTGTAGCTGTAAAAAATCATCAAAATAGGAGTTAAAATAACCGTTAAATCGTAATTTTTCGTTGATAACTGTCGAAAAGTTTTGTCTCGTTACTTGAGCTCTGAATGTTCGCTTTTTGCAATTTTTGGCGTATGCGATCTCGAAGTATATACAAACATGTTTGACGGTTGGATCGTTGAAACTAGTTTCGTAGAATGCGTATCCCATCAAAACAATAAATTCACTAACACTTAAGATTTTGTTCATACTTTCATTAAGTATAACATAAGATTTTATGGTATCCACTAGTGTAAATATTTGAAATTGAAGATCGAATTCATTCATTGTATTCATATAGGGTCGGGGAGTGTAGCTGTAAAAAATCATCAAAATCGGAGCTAAAATAGCCGTTAAATCATGATTTTTCGTTGATAATTGTCGAAAGTTTTTGTCCCGTTACTTGATCTTTGAATGTTTGTTTTTTGCAATTTTTGGCGTATACGATCTCGAAGTATATTCAAACATGTTTGATGGTTGGATTGTTGAAACTAGTTTCATAAAATGCATATCCCATCAAAACAACAGATTCACTAACACTTAAGAGTTTATTCATACTTTCATTAAGTATAACATAAGATTTTATGGTATTCACTAGTGTAAGTATTTTAAATTGAAGATTGAATTCATTCATTGTTGTATTCATATAGGGTTAAGGAGTTTAGCTGTAAAAATTATCAGTCAGAGTTAAAATAACTGTTAAATCGTGATTTTTTGTTGATAACCGTCGAAAGTTTTGTCCCGTTACTTGATCTTTGAATGTTTTCTTTTTTGTGATTTTTAGCAGATGCGATATTGAAGCATATACAAACAACGATTGGATCATTGAAATTAGTTTCATAGAATGCGTATCTCATCAAAACGATAAATTCAGTAACAATTAAGAGTTTATTCATGCTTTCATTAAGTATAACATAAGATGATGTGATATCCACTAGTGTAAATATTTTAAATTGAAGATCGAGTTCATTCATTGTATTCTTATAGGGTCAAGGAGTGCAGTTGTAAAACATCATCAAAATCGGAGTTAAAATAACCGTTAAATTATAATTTTTTGTTGATAACCTGTCGAAAAGTTTTGTCCCTTTACTTGATCTCTGAATATTTGTTTTTTGCTATTTTTGGCATATGCGATCTCTAAGCATATAAAATAAGTTTGACGGTTGGATCGTTGAAATTAGTTTCCTAGAATATGTATCCCATCAAAACGATAGATTCACTAACACTTAAGAGTTTATTCATACTTTCATCAAGTATAACATACGATTTGTGGTATCCACTAGTGTAAATACTTTAAATTGAAAATCGAATTCTTTCATTGTATTCATATAGGGTCAAGGAGTGTAGCTGTTAAAAATCATCAAAATCGGAATTAAAATAACCGTTAAATCGTGATTTTTCGTTGATAACCGTCGAAATGTTTTGTCCCGTTACTTGATCTCTGAATGTTTGTTTTTTGCAATTTTTGCGTACAAATAACAATACATTATGTGATAAATACAGATTCGCCAAACAGGTTCGTCTTTGATATTACATGATGGTCGATTATTACAACAATATATAGTTGACAATTATGAGAAGATTGAGGCACATAGACTTAGGTGGCTGCAAAGCAATCAACAAACTATTAGAGCAGAGTTATATCAAGGATTGCAAGACTCACTCGCATCGGGTGAATTCCATGCTGGTATGTACCAAATCCACACTTTCCAAGTTAATTTCTATTAGTTTGCATTCCTAAAGAATTTTTATAAAAATGTACTTGAAATGTCATCTTTAACAACAAATAGGAAATGTGGGATGAACAACAATACTCCCCTCATCTTTTGGTGGAAGCCCCCGTGATATGCATCAGCGTTATCAAGATGCCATGGCATTGGTTCAAAAGTATGGGAAGCCAGACATATTTCTAACTATGACGTGTAATCCATCATGGGAGGAGATAACAAGTGAATTATTTCCTGGCCAAACATCACAAGATAGGCCAGACTGCTAACTAGAATTTTCAGAACCAAATACGAACATCTGAAGAAAGTTATTTACAACACTAGAGTTCTTGGTAAGACAATCGCTCATGTGCATGTAATTCAATTTCAAAAAAGGGGTCTGCCACATTGTCACATGCTCATTATTCTTGTAGAGTCAGACAAGTTAAACACACTTGATGACTATGATCGCTTTGTGAGAGTTGAAATTCCATACAGAGAAGAAGAACCTGAGTTATACAATATTGTCCTGAAACATATGATCTATGGACTGTGTGGGGCTCTTAATCCAAACTCTCCATGTATGAAAAATGGAAGCTGTAAAAAAGCCTTTCCTAAGCAGTTTTCTGAAGTCACAGTGCAAGGAAATAATTGTTACCCAGTGTACATGAGGTGCAATGATGGTAGATATGTTGCTTTAGATCGAAACATTGAAGTAGAAATAGATAATAGGTGGGTTGTTCCATATAACCCATGGCTATTATTGAAGTATGATTCTCATATAAATGTTGAGGTCTGTAGCAGCATAAAGTGTGTCAAGTATCTGTATAAATATGTGTACAAGGGACCTGATCGTGTTTCCTTTAAGGTGCGTTTGGGACCATTTTTTGATGAAATATCAAAGTACTTAGACGCAAGATGCATTTGTGCTTCAGAAGCTTTATGGAAATTATTTTCATTTCCTATGAATCGTATATATCCTTCAGTAGAGCGGCTGCAAGTTCATCTTCCAAATAGGCATCAAGTCAGATATTATAGTCACATCTCAATTATGGAAGTTCTGTCTAACACAAGCAGCTCAAAGACGATGCTCACCGAATTTTTCCGTATCAACTGCACTGATCCATTTGCAAGACAATGGTTATATAGAGAATTCCCTGAACATTATAGATGGGTTGCCACTGGAAAAAAAATGGCAAAGGAGGGTTTCACAACAAAAGGTTATCGGACTAATTTATACAGTATGTCCATCTGAAGGTGAACGATTTTACTTACGTACTCTATTAAATCATGTCGGAGGTCCCATATCATTCGATCATCTTCTGATAGTTAATGAGTTGCATTTCCAACATTTAAGCAAACGGCTGAAAGGAAGGGTTTGCTTGAGGATGACAATAGCATTCACCAATGCCTCCTAGAAGCTGCAACAACTCACATGCCATCAGCTTTGCGTAGGTTATTTGTCACAATATTAGTGTATTGTGAACCTATTGGAGTGCGTACTTTATGGGAGGAATTTCATTCATTTATGGGGCAAGACTACCCAACATCCAGCAGCTCAAATAATAGGGTTATCATCAATCTTTTGTTGCAGGATCTGAATGCATTGTTACAACAACATGGTAAAAGAATTCATGATTATGATCTTTCACAAATTGATATGTCCATGAATAGCTCAGCAACTCTAACAATTATACAAGATGAGCTCACAGTTCATGCTCCCCCAGAAGACCTGCAATCAATTTAGACATTAAACACTGATCAACACATTGCATTCGACACAATCATGAGAGCTATTACATGTAATCAATCAGCAGCTTTCTTTGTAGATGGCCCCGGCGGTACTGGAAGGACTTACCTTTATCGTGCAATTCTTGCTTCGCTAAGGAGTAATGGTCTCATAGCTATTGCAACAGCCACATCTGATATTGCAGCTACTATTGTACCTGGAGGAAGAACAGCACATTCACGATTTAATATTCCTATCAACTTATTGTCCACCAACACTTGCTCTATAAGCAAGCAATCAGATTTGGCGGAACCTCTAAGGCGTGCAGTTGTTCTTATATGGGATGAAGCCACTATGATTCATAAGAGAGCAATTGAGACTTTAGATAGAATCTTACGAGATGTAACAGGCATGGAAACACAATTTTGTGGCAAAGTGATGATTCTTGGAGGAGATTTTCGTCAAGTTCTTCCCGTTATGCCTCATGGAACCAAAGCGCAACTGATAGATGCACGCATTGTAAAGTCCTCATTATGGAACGAGATTCAAGTTATCCGATTGAAACATAATATGAGAGCTCAACAAGACCCTGATTTTGTAGAATTCCTACTCCGTGTTGGTGACGGAAATGAGTCATTTGTAGAAGATGATATGATTAGAATCCCGGATTCATTTGTTATTCCTTGGCATGGCGATGAATCAATCGGTCAGCTTATTGGTTTTGTATTCCCAAGATTAGAGGAGAATGCTTTCAACATTTCTTATATGGTTGATAGGGCTATCATCACCCCAAGGAATGAGGACATTGACAAGTTAAATGAAGTGGTGTTAAACTCATTTCCTGGGGAACAACACATTTATTACTCTTTTGATAGAGTTGACGATGACCCTCAAAACTTATATCAACAAGAGTTTTTGAATTCTATAACTCTAGGTGGCTTACCTACTCATAAGTTGACATTGAAGTTGGGTGCACCAATCATGCTCCTTAGAAATATTGATCCAAAAACTGGGTTATGCAATGGAACAAGGTTGATATGTTGGCGATTCTTTCCAAATTGCATTGATGTTGAAATATTAACTGGGCATTAAGGGCACAAGAGTCTTCCTGCCACGCATTCCTTTGAAGCCTTCGGAAAATGTAAAGCTTCCGTTCTCTTTTATACGTCGACAATTTCCTGTAAGATTAAGGTTTGCGCTGACCATAAACAAATCTCAAGGCCAAACAATTCCATATGTGGGTGTCTATCTCCCTAATCATGTGTTCAGCCATGGCCAGCTTTATGTAGCTTTGTCAAGAGGAGTTTCCACATAGACAACCAAGGTCCTTATAAGAAATGGTGTCATTGCAGGACAATCTGGAGTTTATACAAGGAATGTTGTATATAAAGATGTTCTAACATCATGCCATATGCAACAAGATGAATAAAACATCAGGTTTACTTACTTATCCCTTTAACATTATTTTCTTTCTTTTTTTTTTTTGCCAAAATGAATCAATTATTACAAAGTGATATTTTTCATTTAGACTTGAATATAAAATTTGGACTGGGGGTACCAAAACCTCAAATAAATACAAAGACTATCTTACCTTTGGATGTTTCTACCCTAAATAGTTTGACGAATGTCTTACTTAATTTCCCAATACATATGTGGTATTTTAGTTTTGAATTTCAGTTTTTTTCTTATATGTTTTGATGTCCTGCTCATATGGTAATGCTTTGTCCAGGTTCTGTCATGCCTTCCAAATTGTTCTACCAATTTAAAAAGTAAGTCATATTCAATTCCCTGAAGATTTGGAATTTGAGGTGCAATTGCAACAGATTGTAACTCTGTTATGCATTTTCTTTTTACAGCAATTGTCAGCTTTGCAAATGTTTCTAGTGCTCAAATGTTGTATATAAAGATGTGCTAACATCATACCATATGCAACAAGATGAATAAAATGTAAGGTTATTTACTTCTCCCTTTAACATTATTTTCTTCCTTTTTTTTTTTTTTGCCAAAATGAATCAATGATTACAAATTGCTATTTTTCATTCAGACTTGAGTATAAAATTTGGTTCTTTTTAATCTATTTGTGAATGAAAGAACTACTTGGCCTATTTCCAAAGCTTCATACAATAGTTATATATATAAGGTTGGCTGCCTTTAATGTATTCAATTTCAAAATAAAAAATACTTAATATGGCTTGCCATTGTGCAAAAATTTGTTTTGATGCAATGTTTTGAACATCTTTTTGTAAAACATGTTTTTGTAGATTTGCAATCGACTATGACTAAAAACTTTTGATTTAATAAATCATCTTGAAATTTGTTAATGCATAATACAATAGATAATATTTCTTTTTTAATAGTACTATAATTACTTTGTGCTGGATTTCATACTCCTGAATGGAAATGAACAATTTATTCAAGAGATCCAGAAGAAATGGACTGTTTGAGAATACCTCTGTAACAAATTTCAGAGGCATCAATTTCAACAATTTTGAATGAATTGGGGGTTGGAATGCCAAGACAAGGCAAAGTGTTAACATGTGATTTGATTTGCTTGACGATGGAAGTATGAGTATTGGACCATGGTGAGGGATTTTCTTTGAGACAATCAAACAAAGATTTACATTGCTGTCTAAGATGGGGATAGAATTCGGCAACATAGTTTAATGATCCTGGAAATCTCTATAATTGGGTTTTGTCAGTGATTTCATCTGGAAACTTATCTGCAAATTGAATTACTCTATCTATTGGTTGAATGGTTGACTGGTGGATATTGTATCCTAAAAATAATCTTGGTTTGGAACAACTTGATTTTGGTTGCTGAGACAACTAATCCATTTGACTTAATTGTCCTAGCAAATATGTATAAGTGTTTCCAATGCTCATCTATCGATTTGGAATAAATGAGAACATCATCAATATAAACAATTGAGAAATGACTGTATTGATTAAATATTCCATTCATGATATTTTGAAATTCACTAGGTGCATTCTTAAGACCGAAAGGCATTACACTCCATTCATAATGACCAAAAGGAGTGACAAATGTTGTTTTGTATTTGTCATCCCCATGAATTTGAATTTGCTAAAATCCAGACTTCATGTCAAATTTTGAGAAAATGACAGCTTGACTGAGTCTCCTAATTGGATCTCTTTTGTTGGGAATTGGGTATCGTATCCATTCTAGGACTTCATTAAGAGGTTTGTAATTGATAACTAACCTAGGGGTTCCTCGTTCTAATTTTGCATTCTTTTGGACATAGAAAGCAGGACATAACCATGGTGATTTGCTTTTTCTAATTATTCCTTTATTAAGAAGTTCTTGAATTTCTGTTTTACAGAATTCCATAACTTCTTGACTCATTTGGATTGGCCTGGCTTTAGTGGGTATTTTCTTTTCATCAAAATCCTTATTGTAAGGAAGTTTGACAATGTGTTGTTTTCTATGCCAAAAGGCGTTGGGAATATACGAACAAATTCCATTAATAAGTTTTTTTTGAAAGTTGTCAATGCTTTGTAACGAAGATTTGTTTGTTAATTGTTCTTCAATTCTTTTGTAATTAATTTCTTCTTTTAAGAAATGAATTTGTTGTGATTTTTTGGTAACTAGATTGATGGTTTTTGAGATGCTATCTAACTGTAATTGTCTTAGTTTTTTGAGATCTGTTTCCGTGTAGAACTCAAATGTGATTTTTTTTCCTAATATTTTGGTGGTGATACTGAAATCCTTTTGATTAGAATGAATGGGGTTTTAAAACGGACATTGTTTTGACAGACATGGGCTTTTGGAATTTTGTACTTTAATTACATTGGTGATTGGTTTGCAGCACTAAGTATCTCTGTTGATTTATAAAAATACTTAGTAGGTATTAATCCTTCTGGAATGCAATTCAAGTCTGCTCCTGAATCAATCAAAGCAATTGTTTCTAAGTGAAAATCTTCAATTATTACTTTGATTTTAGAATACTATTTCTAGATTCTTATCTTGTCTAATAATCCTACTATTAAACCTTTTGATGATTTTTCTTCAGACTAAGAATCTAAATTGGAAGAACTATTGTGTTCTTCGTCATTATTATTGGCAAGTGTTTGTGTCTGAACTCTACTGAGATATGTACGTACTTCTAGGTTTTCTGATTTTAGAAACCTAATTTCATCTTTGATTTTATTGACTTCTCTTTATAAGTCCTTGACAGTAATCTCTTTCTTAGACTTATTGAATCTTTCTTGGGTTGTGCTAACGCTAATTTTTTGGGATACTTGCGGTTGACTAGTACTGGTTTCTTCCTGGGACACTAATTTCTTAAGTTTCTTCAAATAAAATGACTTTAATTCAGGGTCTTCTACTTTGATGATTAATTCAATACAAAGATCTTCTTGTTTTTCTTGTTTATTGAGGATTGAAATCGTTTTACAACAAGTGTCAGTGCATCCTATTTTAATGTCGGGGGAATGAAAGACTACTTGATAAATTATTGGAAGAAGACGAATTAGAACTTAAATCATCTTCGGATTGACTATGGTATGTGTCTCTTAATTCTAGGACTTGGATTAATTGAGCTTTATCTTCTTCAGAGATTTTCAATTGATTGATTGTTTTCCTTACTCTGCATTTATTTGCATAATGACTGAATTTGCCACATTTATAGCAATTTCCTTTTTGTTCTTCTTTCTTGGAGTGGAATTTTCCTGAGGCTTTCCTCTTCCACTTGTTGGACTTGGGTTTCTCGTAAAATTTATTTGTTTCAAAATTCTTATTTTTGAATTTGTTATATTTGGGATATCTCCTACTAGAGTACTTACTTGTGTACCTGTTGTAGGTTTCTGATCTTTACTTTTTGTTGGATGGAGCAATAGGAGGTAATCCATATTATTCACAAAATGTTCCTAATTCGTATTTGGCTATTGATTTATCTTTATTAACTTGTTTTGAGATTTTCATATCTATACACATTTTTAATCCTTCCTTCTGGATAATATTAATTATATTTCCATATGTAAGGGTATGATATGGTATGATACCTTCCTCATTAGCAAAAAGGTTTGGTAATCCATTGATGAATTTTTCTTTCCAAAATGGTTGATTACTATCTTCTCTAAGCATGACTCTAGACATAAAAACATCTTTTTACCATCTAAAATCGCTTAGGGTTGGACATCTTAAATTACTAAGTTGATCATGAATTCTGGAAGTAACATTGTTGGGTGTTCTTATGAAATGTTCTATAATGGTGAAAAGTAGGGTATTGACTACATCTGGGACTCCTTGTCCGATATGTTCATCAAAGATGGGTGTTCCATCTTAATCTTTTTTTACTGCATGTTTGATTTCATTTCTTGATTATTCAATGAGATGTTTTTCCCACCAAGAATGAAGCATTCCTGTGAATCCAGTGAACAATAGGTTGACAACTTTTGTTTGACTAAGGTTATGATTGGTAATATAACTATCAGCAACCATAGAGATGTGTTGTTGTTTGTTCAAGAATTCTTGTTCTGATAAACCATCTATATTCCATCCATAAAGTTTATCAGCTGAGACAGAGAATTGATTTTGGATGTTTCTTTCCTCAAACTAAATATCCAGAGGTGTTGGCCTTGGATACCAATTTTTGGTAAGAGTTGTTGGATTGACTCTTTTGTTTGTGATTTGTTTCAGTTCAAGATTTTGAAAAGCTTGTGCTACTTTCCTAACGGAATTGGTTTCGATTTCATTTTCTGAATCCCATACTGTCGAAATTGTTTCTTCATGAGACTCATTTGGATGTTGTTAAACATTGACTGTTTTTTCCCGTTTTAATTCATGTAACATTTGATCTATTTTTTGGCTTGTGGACATTGTTTTCAAGGCAATGGTACTGGATGAAGATTCTGGGAAGTTCACCAATGATTTTCTCTACGTGTAGGATTTGGTTGGGAAAGCTTATCTATTTTGTTTTCAATTTTGTCTAAACCAGACAACTAACTTCTCTACTAATCATACCTAGAAATAAATTAATTGAATTGATCACATACATAAATATAATTCCATTCATTCAATTAATCAATTCGAGAAATAACATCCATAAAATAATTATCCATAGTTCAAAACAAAC